AATTATTTTTATGGGTATTGTCTTATTTGACGAATCCAAAGACAGATCTAAGTTAAAGTATGAAAGTAAAAAAAATGTAGGTTATAAGTTAGTGTGGGTATGTAATTCATGCTTGTCTAGATGTGCCGTCTAAATGTTAAATGCTAAAGAACTATAGATTATTAATCTCATTGTTTTTGTTTTTTATATATATATATATATATATATATATATATATATATATATGTGTGTGTGTGTGTGTGTGTGTGTGTGTGTGTATATATATATATATATATACCAATTCACCCCAAGCAAACGCGATAATGCTGCTAAAACAATACTACTACTACTACTACTACTACTACTACTACTAATAATAATAATAATAATGAAAAGTGTAAATAAAATAAAACAATAACATAAAACGTTGTATAATATAAATTAAATAAAAATTAAAAATATTAAAAATACTGCCAGTATGCAACAAAAAATGTTCCTGCCAGAAAAACGGACATCCAACTAAAAGACGTTAAATTCAATCTCTTCGCCACGAACCTTGGTACGAGCAACACATATGTATTTTCTCTCTGTGATATGTCTTGCAATACTACAGAACAAATTTCTCCCTTTTATGACATGTACCATAAAACAATTGTAACCTAAAAAAAATACACGCAATAAAAATATAAATAAATTGTATAAAATTAACATAAAATTTACCATGTTTTCCTGTTATTATTTGTGTACGTTTTATTTTCTATTAAGCACGCTTTTATCTCCGTGAACACAAGGCTAATTTCTGCTGCTATGATGTAAGTTAACCAGCGACAAACTCAAAGGACGACCAGGAGTAAAAGAGAATGAAAAGATTTTCGAAGGAAAAGGAAACCCAATCTTAAACAGGAAACAAGGGATAAACCTCTCCACAGACAGGTTAGGGTTAAAGAGAAAAAAATAGAAATAAAGGAGAGGAAAAAGTGATAGGTATCAAATTCAGATCAACTTGAGTGGAAATTGACCAAAATCTTCCTAAATGGAAAATATCGTTCCAGTTTCGCTCAAATTTATATGAATTTGATACCTATACTAACGAAATTGTATGTGGCTAAATCAGGATCTATCGAAAGTTTTTATTTAATTTATATGCCAAGAAAAAGAAAAAAAATGACAAATTGAAGAAAGAGAGAGAGAGAGAATATAACGCGATATGTATAAAAGTTAGCACAATTTTAACTCAACGTGAACAAAATTAGAGCGAAGTTTTACCATTTATAAAATTTGAGCGAAAGTTTTACTATTTATAAATGAAATTTAATAAAGTTAAATCATCAGTAATCAAATGAGTTTTGTACTTTAGTAAGGAAAAGAAAAATTGGAGAAAAGAGAGAGAGAGAGGAAAAATACATGCGTATTCAAATTGCCCCAGCTTCAGTTCAACATGAGTGAGATGTTCCCATTTAGAAAAGATACGTCCATGCTTTGAATATAAAAAAAAAATGTCTTTAATCATTTCACCCCAAACAAGAGGGAAATGCCACAAGTACGCAGACTGAGTATAGAGAGGAACGAGGAAAGATCAAAAGATGAACGAGATTCAAGAAAATAGAAGATGCCTATTGACGCCACATTTCAATTTTTGAAGATTATATTTATCAGTGAATGAAGCAAAAGGAAATAAGTTCCACGGGTAAGGAGGGAATGTCACTCGTGTGTAGAGGGTTATGCGAAGTGAAATTGAGAAAAGGGACTGAATATAGTGAGGATTGAGGAAAGATGAACGGGATTCAAGAAAATAGAAGACGCCTATTGACGCCGCATTTCAATTTTTGAAGATTATATTTATCAGGGAATAATGTAGTTTCCCTGTGTATATTCTATAAATACTTTCACGGTAATTTTTTTGAAGAACTTTCCGTGATGATACCTAGACTTTATGAATTTAAGCGCAGTGCTGGATTAGTGGTAAGGTCTCATCATTTTACAGTTGAAATGGTTATATGCAACCGTAAGTTCTGTGCTAACAGTTTCTTCTATCGCACTTCTCGCTTGTGGAAGTCTCTTTCGTATTCTTGCTTTCTCGTCAACTTTGATCTTCAAATATTTAAATGCAACGATAATCGTTATCTTCAGAATAATATTTATGTTTTATTAATAATGTTTTCTTTCTTTTTTTTATATTCTTTCACATTCAGTAAACCCTCCCCTATCTTAGTGGTTTTATTGCCTTACTTGCGTTGAAATGATTAAAATAAATTCTGCATGGCTCAATTATAATCGTATCAAACCGATTTTGTTGTTTCTTTAGTAATAAAAGTATGACTGATTTTTTAATATTTTTTACGATTTATCAGCTTTTTTGGTTTAGTTAAGTGTAGTTATTTTTTGCGAGTGAATATGTGACACACACACACACACAGAGAGAGAGAGAGAGAGAGAGAGAGAGAGAGAGAGAGTCTGAGAAACACACACACACACTTTTATTTTTTTTTAGTGAAACTGGAGTAGATTTGGACTAGCGAAA